AATCTTTCTGCAAGTTGTTTTTGAGTTTGACATGCATCTTTATCCAATAATGCTTGTAATTGTTGGTCTTCAAACTTTTTCGGTTGACCTGGACGTTCTTTGTCTTTCACATAGAAATCATCACTTTGAAAGCGTTCAAACCAGCGTTCACAAGTATCTTGAGATGGAGCATGTTCACCATAAGCTTCCTGAAGTATTCAGCAGCACTTTTCTTCAAAATAAAGTAATGAATTAAAAGTTCCCGCAAATGCTCTTTTTTTGGCATGAAATTTGACATTTTTAAGCGTAAAAATATCTATGATGTTAACAACTTCAGCAAATTTGACATATGAAGTTTTAAAGCTGGTCACTACAACAAAATAGCATACATATCAAATCACATATATATCAACATATGTGCAACTCCATCTATTGAAAAAAATCCGCATTATTAACCAGTACACCTAGTACTTAGGATCACAGTTTTATTATAAAGGATGCACACGAGGAAGAGCTGCATAGAGCAAGCTCCCCAGCTGGGGGGGGGGGAGCGGGGGCAGGAGAGGAGGGGTCCATGTCCTCTCCTCATGGAACCTGGGAGGTTCTCTCTCCCAGCATGCCAGTCTGTTTGTCAACCCAAAAGTTCCACAGAGCTTCGGTGTCCAGAGTTTTTATGTGGGTCTCATTGCTATGCATGATTGACTAAATCCCTGGCCATGTTATCCAGTCTCCCTCCATGGAGGTCAGGCTGGCCCAACCCTCTAATCACATGGTTAGTCTTTCTGGTGACCAGCCCCTATCCTGAAGCTATCTAGGAACCATCATATATTGGAATTTATCAATTAAGAAATTCCATGGTTTTATAGCTTTGTGCCAGGAACCAGGACAAAGACCAGATATATTCTTTTTTTTAAATTATTGTTGAAAATATTACATATGTTCCTCCCCCCATTGTCCTCTCTCAGCCTGCCCCGCCCCCCCTCCCCAGTGTCTGTGTCCATTGGTTATGCTTATATGCATACCAGTTCTTTGGTTGATCTCTTACCCTCTCAACACTGCCCTCCCACCCCCGCCTTCCCTCTGAGATTTGACGGTCTGTTCGATGATTCTATGTCTCTGAATCTATTTTTGTTCATCAATTTATGTTATTCATTGTATCCCACAAATGAGTGAGATCATGTGATACTTATCCTTCTCTGACTGGCTTATTTCGCTTAGCATAATGCTCTCCAGGTCCATCCATGCTGTTGTCAAGACCAGATATATTCTTTATTATATTTCACTGCCTGTTCACTGACCTGGGAAGGAAAGCTGGCCTAGAAATCCCTGCCTTTCACATGGCTAACAATTTCAGACTTGATTTTGGGGTGATCTTGGTCCCCAGCACAGAGAAGGTCTTTTAGAGGAAGATTATGTTGGGGGACACAGTCCAAATGAGTTTGGGCAGGGAACATTCCAGGCTGAGACTATAAGTAGGGGGATCATACAACTTATCTAACATAGGACACCTTCAAGGGTACAACAGGACCAGGACCATGGAGTCTTCGGAAGACTGACTCTTGCCTGTAGCTGGCAGGAGAAGAAAGAGCAAGTGGAGGGCTGCAGGCGAGTTTAGGAGGCCAGGCCTGGGAGCGACATACCTCCCCTCTCTCCACATTTATGGGCAGAACTCAGCCACTTGGCCACACCTAACTGCAGTTGGGAATGTCAAATAGCTCTGTGCCCCAGGGGTAGATAGATGGGTTTTTAATAAACACATAGCAGTCTCCATCAGATGTTCCTGGAATATGCCAAGCGGGTACTTCCTCGGGGCCTTCACATTTGTCATTCCTGCTGTACGAATTATTCTCCCCTCAGATAGACTCATGCCCCACCCCCAATGTTCCTTCAGGTCTCTGCTTAAGAGATACTCCAACAGAAGGATGAGCTCACCAATCCTATATGAAATAATGGACCCACTCCATCCTGTGTTCCCTATTCTCTATGGATAATAATTTAGTTACTCAGGGCTCTTGATTACTTGGAATAGAAGCAAACTCTAATTTACTTAAAGTGAAAAATAATTTACATGTATCAGGGAACTCATCCAACCAATGAGGCTGGAGAATTAAACTCAAAATCAAGGTCTAGCTTGGACCTAGTCATGGGGACATTGTGGTTTGAATGCTATCACTGGAGCCAGCACCCTGAACACTTGCTGCCATGTCACCCATTCTTAGTTTCCCCTTTGAGTCACTCTCTCAAAAGTGGGTGCATTGGGTTGATGAAGTCAGGAGGCTATACTCTAACTGCCAGGGGACAAATACAGTAGCTATCTGTGGTTGGAAGTGGGACCTTGATTCCTACCTACCTAGGAATTTCCCCAAATGATAAGTGTTCTTGGAACCTGGGTAGCCAAACAATAGATGGCTTCTATAGCTGGGTATGGAATTCTAGTTTGATGGCATAATTTTTGATATTTTTTTTATGTTCTCTATTTCTGTTGAGAAATTTGCTATCTACTTTGTGTTCCTTTGTAGATCATTTTATATTCATCTCAGTGTTGCTTTTAAGAATTTATGTGTTTGATATACTAGTTTCACCAGATATGGTTAAATAGGAATTTACTTACTTTGCTTAGGACTCATTTGTGCCTTCTCAATTTAAAGAAGTTTGCCTTTTTTCAGAAAGGCATACTTTTTTAGAAAATTCATAGGTATTTATGCCTGCAACTATTAGTTCTCCTCATTAGTCTCCTCAGAGGTTTCTACTAGAAATAATGTTCGACTTTTTATTCTATCTTCTAGATCTCTTTACAGATAGATGTAATTTCTGGCCATCTGACTTGGCTTTATTTTGGCAAGTTTCTTCAAATATTGATCAATTCTTTAATTCTCACTTCAGTTATATCTAATCTGATGTTTAGCTCATCCCTTTTGTTATTTTCAATGATTGTGGTTTTTATAAAATTTTATTTGGCTCTGTTTCAAATTCACCTGTTCTTTTCTCTATTATCTTGCTTTACAGTTCTGTTTCTTAACTCTTTCATTATTTTAGATATTCATTTTCTATAACCACATTCAGAGACTACTCTTGCCTGAATCTCTGGGATCCTATATTTTCTATCTTGCACTCCAACTCTCTCTCAGGATACTTTATTTCTTCGTGTGGTTAATTCTTTTCATTGAGAGATTATTTTCAACAGGAGGAATTTGTCTTGTTTTGTGGTGTTGGTGTGTGCTTATTTTTACTGAGAGTCCATGGTGTCCTGCCTTGTGAAAAATTTCCTCCAGTGTGGTTTTGCATTCACTTCTACCAGGTACTTTAACTTACAGCAAGAGTGGTTCTGTGAGGTGAAGAAGGCAGGTGAGGAGAATGAATAAATTTAGAACTAGAAACCACTACAGAAGATAGCTTGTCTATCCTCCCAGGATAGGTCGCTGGGCTGAGTTGGTACTGTTCGTCTCTTTCTCTTATAAAATCATGAAATCTGCATATTTAGTTCTGCTTCAGGGCCAGGAGGTCCAGGGGTGCAAGTAACAGAAAACTCAGTTCAGACAGACTTTAAGTATTCAGGTAATTTATTGGCTCATGTGATAAAAAAGAGGTAGCATGCAAATGGCCCCAGGCTCTCGTATTCATCAAAGTTCATTGTAGATTAAGAGCTTTTCTCCAAAGTCTTCTTACCTTTCATCCTTCTCCCCTCTCTGGAACTCTCAAACACCACTATCATCAGATCTATCCTTTAGAATCCCAGCTCTGAACGTGTCACTCCCTGACCAAAAAAAAAAACTTTTAAAGATTTACCTAATACCTCTGGTAGAAAATTCGAATGTTTGGTTAGTGTTCTAAGTCAATCAAGATCAAGTTTCGCTGACATTATGTCCATTGACTCTTCACATCTTTAAACCCATTCCAATAGAACTGCTCTCTTTCCTCTCACTCCCACCCTGAACTTGTACATGTCTCACACTACCCTTTTGATTCTCTAAGTTCCTGGAGGACAAAAGTGTTGTCTAACCTATCTTCCTTTTTACCATGTGCCTAGCCAAGGGCATGTCACACAAGAGCGCTACAATTGGCCTAATGCAGTGGTCGGCAAACTCATTAGTCAACAGAGCCAAATATCAACAGTACAATGATTGAAATTTCTTTTGAGAGCCAAATTTTTTAAACTTAAACTATATAGGTAGGTACATTGTTATTAACTTAATTAGGGTACTCCTAAGGCTTAGGAAGAGCCACACTCAAGGGGCCAAAGAGCCGCATGTGGCTCCTGAGCCGCAGTTTGCTGACCACTGGCCTAATGAATCAGGGCATTGCCATTCCTCTTGCCAATGATTAGGTTAAGCCAGACTGGTAGCTCCTGAATTGCACACAGGGGGCATATACACAGCAGCAGATCTCACTGGCACTACTGGCTTAGGAGTTGTTGCTTAAATGCAGGTTAAAGGGCTCAACCCTGGCAGAGAGGCCGGAGGACAGTGCCGATGAGGATGGCCTCTGCTGCAGCGTCTCCCTCTCTCCCCCACTCCTGGGCCTCCGGGTCAGGGCCTGCTCATTATACTTCCTTCGGGATACTTCCCTGGCCCAGCAGCTATCTTTAAAACCCCTGTACAGCTTCAAGACTCTTCCTGTTAGAAATATAGCAAATACTACCTGGGATAGTCGTCTTTTACTGCAAATATGATGTCTTCCATATCAGGAGTCCAGAGTGTTTGGGGCATCTTGGAACACCCCCTTCATAGACCTTGCACAAATCATATAATGCAAATGACAGGTGATAGACCTTGCACAACAAACATCTGTTGCTTAAAAGATTCCATTCAGGTCAATATTATGTATCGTTTGCGAGTGTGCCCAGCACTAAACCCAGAGTGGACAAGACAGAGTGTGTAAAACACCCAAGCTACCGGAAACCCGATGGAGCTGTTTGGTGACCAAATTTGTGTCTTGCCGAGGCCTTGTGCACTGCTATCCTGAGCCTAATACAGTGCCTGGTGAGGGAATGAATGAGTTAATGTTTTTATCTTTTCCAACAGATTACAACAGCAGTGAGTTAAAAACAGCCTGCAGGAAGCATGAGCTTTATGTGAGCTTCCAAGACCTGGGATGGCAGGTGAGTTCTTGGTACAAGGGGGACAAAGTTCCTTTCTCAGTGGGCCCTTCTCATCTTCATGGCAGCAGCCATCATCCAAGATCCTGAGCTTTAGGACTGAGATGGTTCTTCCCATGAAGGTACATAGGAGCCCTTCCAAATGCCCAGGCTCTTGGAGTGAGGTGGGTGAAGGCCTGGCTTATGTGTGCACACAGCCCTTATTGGCACCTTTCAAGGGAGCCCAGGGTTCCCCAGCTCTGTGTACCTCAAAATCAATAGCCACCTTTTCCAATAGTCTTTACTCATTCTTTTAAAGTCCACAGGCTATGTATTTACATTTACCAATTAAACAAATTGTTTTGAGAAAGGGTTGGGAAAATGGATCAATAGTTAAACTTCTGCAATGGCTATAAATCAGCTCACCCAAACTGTCTAGAAGAGCACAAAGGTTTTGCCCCACACCTGAGAGTCACCACAGTTTATAAGAAGCAAATTACAGATGACATGTGACAGAAGATAGTTTCCATATGCAGGTGGCATGACAGGGAGTACTCCGGGCTCCTGGAGAGGCTCTGTTGAGTCCAAGTACATAAAGCCAGCCCCATGTGCTTCTAGGCTTGGCAGGCAGGTAGCAGCTAAATGCCATTTGGGCCTGTGGAAAGAGCAAGGGCTCTGGAGTTACACCATCAGGTTCATACCCAGCTTTGCCACCTGCCTGTGAAACTGACCTTCCTGCATCTGTCTCCTTAGCTGTCCATGGGAGTAATTTTTCTCACAGGATTACTGAGAGCACAGAGTGTATGTTAATCGTCTCTTTGTTGCTTGCTTTTGCTTTTTTACATTAAGGACTGGATCATTGCACCCAAGGGCTATGCTGCCAATTACTGTGATGGAGAATGCTCCTTCCCACTCAATGCACATATGAATGCCACGAACCATGCAATCGTCCAGACACTGGTGAGCTCTCAGAGCCTTTTGTCACTGCATAGGTAGGCGTAAGCCAAGACCAGGTCATTTCTGATGGAACCATTTCCTCCTTCTGTTTTGGAACAGGTTCACCTTATGAATCCTGAGTATGTCCCTAAACCGTGCTGTGCGCCAACTAAACTAAATGCCATCTCGGTTCTTTACTTTGATGACAACTCCAATGTTATCTTGAAGAAATACAGGAATATGGTTGTAAGAGCTTGTGGATGCCACTAACTTGAAACTAGTTGCTGGGGCCAGAGGTACTGCCTTGGACTCCTAGCTTACACCTGCCTTAAGCAGCACACTGACGCAGTGAAAGTGGGATGATGACTTTGAAACCATCTCTTGCCGGTTGGTGCCTTACTGCCCAAGGAAGACGTTAAAGGGGCTCAGTAATGATTTGCCCGTGTAGTAAATAACGTGAGTAGTTGGTCTGTAGGAGGCTATTTGAATGTCTGTAATATGGAATCTGGACATTGCAGAAACAGAACTTTGAAGGGTTCCTCTTCCCCCATAAAAGCCCACCAAAATTAGTTTTAGCTTTCTATCAAGCTATTTGTGGTATTATTGAGTAAACAGGGAAAATAATTTTAAAGAAGTATAAGTATTCTTGGCTGAAGTATCAGCCAATTTAGAATGTTTCTCAAAAATAGATCTTACAGTTAACAGAAATTGGGGGCGGGGGGAATGCCTCTATTCAAGGATTTCATTCCCAGGAAGGCCAATTTCATATAAGATCAACAGCCCAAGCCATAATCAGGGCGTGTGGAAGTGCCTTTTGTCCGGTAACTGCTGTTACCTGTTTGTGCTGGCGTTCTGTTGGTGTGAAAATAGAATTATTTCAGTTAAAACAAACCATGTGATTTCCACACGTCAGTCCTCCCCCATTTGCGGTTTCCTTTGCGAGCACCACCAGCAGAAGGCTGGTGCTCTGAGGGGACCACGGGGTGGGGCATCCTCAGTGGCCGCCACGGCACCCAGGTGACAGGTGAACACAGTGCTGCGCCTCCTCCTGTTCGGAACGGCTCTGAAAGCACAGTAACTTCAGGAACGCTGGCTCTCATATCTCATCTACTTCAGTAAAACAGGTCTTGCCCTTTTACTGTACAGCATTCCGTGTCACAGGTGAGAACCAACAAAGGACATAAACTGAGCGAGGGGCACTAGCCTTTAGGAATGGGTTTGGATGGCCATGCTGTTGATGAATCGAAATCAGTTTTCTCTTGTAGAAAGTAAGACTCAGATTAATTTTAGAATATTTTTTAAATGTCTTTCTCACAATCATATACTAGGAAACCAATTTCATATTAAACTGATTAAATAATACATGTATGATCTATAACTGTTTGCACTTACAGCTTTTTTGTAAATATAAACTATAATTTATTGTCTATTTTATATCTGTTTTGCTGTAACATTTAAGGAAAGACCAGACTTTTTTTTTTAAAAAAAGAGTTTATTTAGAAAGTATCAGAGTGTAAACAAATTGTACCACTTTGATTTTCTTTCAATACAAGACTCGTGATGCAAAGCGGAAGCCACTCATGAGGATTGTGCTTCTCCTGAAAAGTTGGTTTTTTAACAAGAACATCTGTGATCCACACACAATTAATAAAGATTTCCTTAAGGCAGAGGCTGGTCGAGATCCTGCTCTGTTGTCATCTGCTGCAGACAGCAGATGCTTCTTGTGTCTAAGATTCTTACCACCAGTTACTCTGTGTCAAGTGACTGGCTCCCCCAAGCACGGGAGGTGGGGTGAGAGTGGTAGACAGAGGGGTTATTATGAAAGGTAACTTGATGGCAAAGAACATACAGGGAGCCTAGTTCTATGGTTATTTCCAAGGGTGATGGTAAAAATGTTTAATAACTAGAGAGGCATGAATTATAAGAGCATTAGCATTGATGGTAGCACAGCCTACTTCAGCTCTGACTCAGCCCCGCCTACTTCATTCTTTGGTCTTTAGGTAAAGTTAATCCCACTCCTCAGACAGCACAGGGTCAATCTCCATGAAGGCAGACGATGTACAGAGCCTTTAACAGGGGTGGGGAGCCTTTTTTTCTGCCAAGGGCCATTTGGTTATTTATAACACCATTCACAGGCCATACAAAATTATCAACTTAAAAATTAGCCTGCTATATCTGGTCAAACATTTAAATTAATTCACCCCTAATGCCTTGGCAGGGCCAGACCAAATGATTTCTCAGGCCTTTATACGGCCCTTGGGCCGGACGTTCCCCACCCCTGGCCTAGGACTACCGAGGAGCAGAACTAAAACTGCTTTGTTAGGGCCCTGTAGCAGGGCTGCGGAAGTCACCTGGCCCCTGATACCGGACCTGCTCATCTAGTCCTTTTCCCCAGGTGACAGATACCATCGGAATCTTTCTAGGAGTTAACAGAACAGTCAGGACAAGCCTCGTGGAACTTTCCAGGCCCACATTTTCCACGGGAGATAGCAAATCTTAAACATGGGCTTAAAAATCTTAAAAATCTTCACGTGGAACCTGACTTAATGTTAACATAACTAATGAAACCTTTCACCCAGGAGAAACAGACAGAAGTATCCCTTGAACAGTAATAACTGATCTGACAAATATCGACACACACATAAGATTATGGCATCAGCGTGACCTTACTCAGGCACACGTCAAAAGTACCGCTGCTTTCGTTATGGCAAACCTCTCGCCATGAGAGAAGTATCAACAGAAACAAAATCCAGGAGTGGCTGGGAAGGCGCCTTCCAGAGGTGCGGGGGTTTGTTTTTAAATCTGCTCCAAGATACAGACCAACCACATGATTAGCTGTGACCTTGAGATCAGAGGAATGACAATACGCCATGCGACTACCTTTCCAGACTCGTGGGCAGTTCAAAACTGTGCTTTGGATGATGCTTTCACCAGAATCACTCAGGAGCCAAAAATAGTCCAGCGATTCGCTTTTCCTCAACTCTGTTTTAGTCTCAAAGGAAACCATTTAGATTCCATCAAGAGAAGGTTAAAGGGGATGATAGATTGCCACTGAAAATACTTAGTTTGCAAAGGGATCATATTTACTTAGAGAAACGTAATAAAAATTCTGTAGAGTGTGTTGGCTTAACACACACAGAAGATACCACAAGTTCAGTACAGACAGCTTTCTGAGGAACCACCACCTGAAACTCCCCGAGGTCCGCACGACGTGCTCCTCCACTCAGTCCAGGAGCCCGCAGGAAGGCGGCTTCACCTGCACTTTTATAGTTCGTCTTTCGCCTGGCGCAGCACAAAGGATTGCAACGAGTCGAGGTCCCTGCCTCCATTGTGCTCGCTGACTCTCTTGCCTCCGCGGAAAAGCAACAATGTGGGGTAGCCTCGTACCTGTAAAGAGGAAATTCAGTTTGAAAACTGGTCTGAATCATACACAAATTACTTAAATAAAGCCAGAAAAACACCTCCTGTTGTGGCCAGGAAAGTCTATGGTTAAATTTCCATTTAAAAAGTACCAGCTAGTTCAGCAAACAAAGCCGTGGGGCTATTTATTCAGCTTCCAATCCAAAATTACATCCTCGATTAGTGTCAAAGGGATGCCTCCCCAGAGTGGAGCCTCCCAGTCCTTGCCTGGTGCATGCGCCCCTGGGCCGGGTGGAGTCAGCGTGGGGCCTGAGGCTGCGTTTATGACCAGCTTCCCGTGGTGTCCAGGCTATACGGAGTAGCAGCGAAACCCTCACGGAGATATATTTTTCAGCTGTAGCTCACCTCTTTCCTCTTTTGAGAATTTTAAGGCACAAAAAAATGCCTGCATTTTCCAATGATAAAAAAAAAAGATATCTATTCTCAATCTGATGAGGTGATAAATATCAGAAGCCTCAAAAGTATTTTAGGAAAGCAACCGAAAGAACAGTACAAATCACAAATCGTGTAGGCTGTTAGACGGTGCCAGCAGCTCGGAAGGAGGCAACAGCTAAAGGACCAATCCAAGTGCAGGACTGGCTGGTGGGGATGCCCTCTCAGGAGGAAGTCTACGTTCCAGTGTTGCCTTATTCAGCCATCGACTTCAGAACACTGGCACATGTAAAAAAATAAAAAGCCACTTCGTTATCTCTGATGAAGACTACGAGCCAGCTGACTGTCAGTGAGAGTGTGCATTCAGGGGTACCCCGCTCCCCAGGGTGGAGTCTCAGTTACTGCCCAGAAGCAAGGCCGAGACCCGCCCCCCCCCCCGCCCCACCCCCGGAAGGTGTGTGTAACAGAGGGAGAAAGCCTTTCTCTCAGAGCATCTCTTCCTTTTCAAAGTAAAAAATCAAAACACCTCAAAAGGACACAGACATCGCACTTTGTTGAGGGAGGAGGGCAGTGCGTTATCTTGGTTGAGACAACGATACCACATTCCAGCTCCACACGGGATCAGCTCTGATACTCAGCGTCCCCGGAAGTGTTTTCACCCACAGGTACCCACCGAGTACTTGCTGCAGATGTTGCGCTCAGCAGTACAGTCCACTTCAGCGACCTTGACCTCTGCCAAGCCAGGGAATTCCCTTTTAGAGAGCTCTTCCCAGGTAGGAGCCAGATTCTTACAGTGGCCACACCTAGAAATGGAATAATGACCACTTTGTTGAAGTCCCAGGTCCAGGTCCCTCACCGACATTTCGCTGCCAAGCCTTGTTTTTCTATGAGGCTGTCAACAATGGCCTAGAAGTTTATAAAACACCAAATTCTCCCATTCTCTTCCTCCTCCTCCTAAACAAAGATGGCAAAGTCCATCTGAAGCAGACTCCTGGATAACCCGATGGAAACAAGCTGGTGTGAAAACAAGTCTGAGTTTGGAAACCAGGTCCCTGATCCGTACATCAGGTCAACTGGTTTACGAATACATCGTGAACAGGAGGAAACGAACAGGAAACAAAATGGACTCCAAACGTCGTTGCTTTTTTAATCACTTGAACGCTAAAAACATTTTAGATTTGACTGCTTATGGTCTCAACATTTCAAAACAACCTCACAGCTCCCCTCAAGCTTCGGTGATGTGGTGTGAGCACTAAATCATTCAAAACTCCTGTGTCCCTTTTCTGACTACAAGAACTGCTCCCCTGCAATAAAAGGGGATCCGCTGTCTTCAAACTTGATCTATATAGGTTTCTTTTTTTAAAAAAATAGAAAATTGCCCTAACCGGTTTGGCTCAGTGGATAGAGCATCGGCCTGCGGACTCAAGGGTCCCAGGTTCGATTTCGGTCAAGGGCATGTACCTGGGTTGCGGGCACATCCCCAGTGGGGGGTGTGCAGGAGGCAGCTGATCGGTGTTTCTCTCTCATCGATGTTTCTAACTCTTTGTCCCTCTCCCTTCCTCTCTGTAGAAAATCGATAAAATATATTTTTTTTAAAAATAGAAAATAGTTTTAAAGGCATTATTTACTAGTGTTTCTTTTTTTATATATATAACATTTTTATTGACTTCAGAGAGGAAAGGAGAGGGAGAGAGATAGAAACATCAATGATAAGAGAGAATCATTGATCAGCTGCCTCCTGCACGCCCCTGACTGGGGATCAAGCCCGCAACCCAGGCATGTGCCCCTGACCGGAATTGAGCCTGGGACCCTTCAGTCCGCAGGCCAATGCTCTATCCACTGAGCCAAACAGGCTTGGGCTAGCGTTTCTATTTTTTAAGAATTAAAACAGCACAACTCATACAAGTCATGTGCTCAAAACCTTTTCTTTTTTATCCTCATCTGAGGCTATATTTATATATTTTTACTGATTTTAGAGGGGAAGGGAGAGGGTGAGAGAGAAACATGGATGTCAGAAACATCAATCCGTTGTCTCCCATATCCACCCGACTGGGGATCGAACCCTCAACCTAAGTATGTGCCCTGACCAGGAATTGAACCTGAGACCCTTCAGTGCCCAGACAACACTCCAACCAATAGAGCCAACCAGGCAGGGCTCATTAACTTTTATCTCTGCTATTATGGTTTTTCACGAATATCCAAAATGAAACAAATTAAAGAGCAAAATGGCATGTGGTGACCTTTCCTGTCTGCTTTTAAATACGGAACGGACACTCCCAGCACCCTGCATTCCCAAATGCAGTGTTTCATTTCCTTCAGTTTTACTGCTACGTTTCAAGGAATTAAAGAACACCCAGAGCTACAGTAGTTCAGGGAAGTTCTGGACCTCTCGTCCTCCCCCCACACAGGTGCCTTGTTCCCAAACCCATGCACAGTCCCTGTCTGCCTGGTCCCTGAGCACCGTGTGGCAAGAAAGGCTCTGATTTCAGCTGGATTTCTCTATGGCATCTAAAAGAGAGGACTTGTATCCATGCACATGAGCATGACCAATGGACAGAGACAACAGGGGGTGGGGGCGGGGAAAGGTCAATGGGGGAAAAGGAGACATATGTAAAACTTTCAACAACAAAGAATTTAAAATAAATAAATAAAATAGACTAAGGAGCAGAAGTACATCAAGATGTTCATGGGTAATGTAACCAAAACAAGCCATCTATTTGGCGAAGCACACAGGCACCACAACTTAAGTCCTATATGACCACCATAGTTCTCCTCCATTATGTTTTCTGAAAAGCAGACCAAACTATAAAATAAATTAACCCAATTTTCCATAAATGGTCATGAATACCACCAAACTGGAACATACCTGAACACAGGAGCATAAAGATAACATTTCCTTATTTCCTACAACAGAGCCCCAGGATGAGCCTGGAGGGTTGGCTAATGAGCTGAAAAATACGAAGGGACTGAAGAGCACTAGGAAAAGTAGTTTCTAATTGAGGAGCCACTTACCATGGAGCATAAAACTTGATGAAGGTTATTCCTTCTGCAATGGTGTCATCAAAGTTATTTTCCGTGAGTGCCAACACAGCGCCCTTCAGGGGTGGAAAAGCCACAGTGAAATACATCACTTACAGCACAGGGAATAATGCTTTGGGATTGCAGAAAGACAAATCAATAATTTTGAATGCTGTTATGCCTACTCCAAGGTCACACAAAACTACCTACACAACTTGCATTTCACAAACGACACAAAAGGGTAGAGCAGTGGCCTCTGAAGGGCAGAGATTCATCACAGGTCCATGGATCCTGAGCCCACGAGACGCTTTGAGGAGGTGGCAGGAAAGTGCAGCTCTCGCTCCCTTCCTCCCCCCGCGCCAGCCCAGGGTGGGTGAGGGGCAGCTGCTGTCCCCCAGGGCTCGGGAGTGTGGACCAGTCAGCTTTAGGTGGACAGGGCTTGAATCAGACCTCCCTGCCTCGGAGCCTCCCACACACTGACCAGAGCCCAGACACCCCTTACTGGGCCTCCTGAAGTCTGTACCCATGGCTCCTCTCACTGACTCGACACTCTCTATCACAGGGATTCATAAAAATGACTTCCTCTATGTCATAGAGGGACCTTACAAAAAGTTACAAAAGCACAGGCAATGATGTGCTTTACCTATAACAGGCTTCTTTCCATTTTTAAGTTCAAAGTAAATGTAAAAGCTGCCCCTCTGAGCTCCGGCTGCACGGTGCAGTCTGCTCCAAAGTGACTCTACCGTGACAGCTCTTTAGAGGACCACGTCTCCTGTTTCTCCAAAAATACATCTGCGATTCTCTCAGGAGAGCACGAATATGGGTGATTTATCATGTGGCTGAAGGTACCAGGGCTGCGCCGCTTGAGTCTGGCCTCAAGTAAGCCTGTCGGTGACGGGAGGCGCCGAGTGCCAGGGGCATTGTAGAACACTGCCATCTTTCTTTATGTCCAGAAACAGGATGCCACACTCACTGAAAGGCCCACTTAATGGTGGAAAACTTCATTATAAATAGAAGCCGCTCTGTGTTTGATGAAAACATCCATAGTATATAATTATACTCAATTTGGGATGACCTTTCTAACCACCATGACACACACACTCCTCTAACATATGTGGTCATAACAACTACAAAATCATTTGTTTACTTCTTAAACCAAAACTTCAACTTTTAACTAACACCCAACCTGCAAGAGTCCAACTAAGGGATGGGCTGTGGGGACGAAGATGCCCCTTCTCCCCAACCCTGAGAGGATGGGTAGGGGTTTCCACTGGCTTTTTTCAATTCCAAACAACTGGGGCCGAGGGACAGATGGCTCCAGCGTGCCGTGACCTCTGCTGTAAATGCTGAGGGCTGGAGGGTTACCGGGGAGCGTTCAGGCACATCTGGCTCGCTGCCCTCTCCCCGGGAGCATGGGCACACCCCCGCCCCTTCCTTTGCCCCGTGTCCCCGCGTCCCAGGTAAGACCTGCCATGCTATGAAGTACAGTCGTGTGAACTGAAGTAGCAACATTACGTATTCTGCTTTGAAAATATGTTGACAGACAGGCCTTATGGCTCTTTGCTAGGAAATCCAAGCATTGTTTTCCTGAAAAAAAAAACACCCACACTATTTTGAGTTGCCTTAAATCTCATTCTAACCCATGACTTCAGCAATAGCTTCTACCTAAAGCTCCAGACACATAGACGTAGTGCAGATGGCCTGCTTTAGCTCCAGACTGATACACTGTCCACAGTTATCACCACACAGCCTTGAAAAGCGACACCTTGAAAACTGATGGCATCTCCACCCCCCTCCCCGCTCCCAGGGCCCCTCCTCGTGCTTGGTGCCATCGTCCACCGGCTGTGCCAGGAACTGCGGCAGCGCAGACCCCACCGTCCTAACTGCTCAGAGCTGGAGTCCCTGTGCTGGTGGCACTCCTGCCCTCCATCCCACTGTCAGCCTCCGTTTGGGGTCTCATCTTCTTTTATGACCTAATACACCAGTTTTCCATCTCCTTCATACAAGCTGTTGCCAGTCATCTTTCTAAAACTCAAACCTTTCATTGGATCCCTATAAATAAGCTCAAAATCCTTGGCTGGTCAACAAAGTCCTCTGCAAACCAGCTCTCCCCACCCCCACTCTTTCCCGCTGCATCCTGCCCGCACCCTTTGTCCCCCTCTTTACCTCACCCTCCAGCCGAAGCGGGCCCTGCCCCACGACGCCCGCTGGCCCCAGCACGGTGCTGCTGCTCACACTCTTCCTCCCCCAGGCATGCCTTCCTAATCTCTCCAGCAAACACCATTCACCTGTCACCTCTCCAATGACACTTCTTGCCTATCGGCCCCCTCCTCTCACACAGTGACCGGCCAGCCCTGCACACTCTCAGAGCCCTGGGACACCTGCATGCATGTACTCTCATGCGCCCCCACTAGACCCACGGCTCGGCACAGCCAGCAGCATGGTCTTGCTTTTGCTTCCTGGTGGACCAGGACAGTGCCTGAAACATAACAAGGGCTTGATAATCACAGAACAAATGACCCTAAAGCCTGAGAATGAAGATGCCCTCGGTGAGTTAGAGACCGTCTAAGCAAATTCATGTCCTCCAGCCACCCGCCTTCAATTCCAGCACACAGCTGTCCTGCTACCCAGCGTTCATGGCCTTTATAAGCCACAGGCTACAGTAAAATGCCTGCAGCACGTTGTGGAAATGAACAGACAGTGGACCCACGAGGCAGCAGACAAGCTTTCAGAGCGAATACCCTCAAGTACAGTGATAACTGAATCAAAGGGAGGAAGTTCCCAGAGATCTCAACTCCATCTCGGGATTTTCCTCACATCCATGTTGCCCTTTGCCCCTTACAAACATGTACACATAGTCAAAGAAGATGTTCCGTGTTGAAAGGTCAGCTGTAACCAGCCATCTGAATGGCTCAGTACTGTCCTCACATGTCCTGTGTCCCCAGCACCAGAGAACGCCCTCTGCGGGCGGTGCTGGGCGGGCACCCACCTTGTCGGCCTCGGGCTCTGCAGCACCCACTGGGGCCTCCGCGGGTGGGGTGGCCTCTGGGGTGCCACGGTCCGCACTCTGGAGCTGCAGTTCCACATACTCTCTCAGCGAGTCCAGATCCCGCTTTCCCTTGTACTGGTCCACCTGTCCAGATAAGGGCCACACAGAAACACGGCCGAGTTAGTACACTGAAGTGCTTGAACCACTCAAACCTCCTGCGAGCCCTCGCCCACGGGGACCCTGCCGTCAGATGCCTTCCCCAGGTTGTGTGAGCTGTGTGTGCGGTGCCTGCAGGCTCGGATCTAAATGGGAGAGCGCGGATGATAAGCCGAGGGGTTGGCTCTGGTGAGAGCTTTACAGCCCCTTCCTCTGCAGAGCTGCGAAGCACAGCCTGGCTGCCGCCGCAGGCGCTCTGCGAGGCTGCCCATCAGCCGGGACGGGGACGGGAACCTTACCGAGGGCACATGGACCCTGCTCAGAGGCCACGGCCAGAGCTCAGTTACCCAGGACGGTAGATTTGGGTTACTCTAGTAACCACCTGAGCCAAATGAAAGGTTTCAAAATAGTATAACAACTGGCAGTTTTTCTCCACTACCCAAATCTTATCAGTTAAGAGAAAGGCATTTTTGTTCCATTACATGTATCCTTTAAACCGGTGCCCAAACCGTCCATTCTGGCAATCCGCATGCCTGTTAAGCACCCAACAGCTCAGCCCACTGTGGCTAAGACCCAAATACGCACCTTTTTGCCATCCTGGAACCAGAGGAGCGTGGGATAGCCTCGGACCTGGTTCCCGGAGCAGAGCTCGTGGTGCTGCGTGCAGTCCACCTGCAAGGCAAGACCACCGTCCAGTCAGCACCTGTGAGCCTTCCTGACAAAAATGACTATGGCCCTCGGGGTTTCTTTAAAAAGAAAAATTCTAACGCCCCTGACCTGCAGCCACTGGGCCAGCAGGCTGCCGTTTCTGCGGCCTTCCCTGCAGACGCAGCCCCAAAGACACCCGAGCCAAGGGAGCAGGATGACCACATTCACTTTAGAGACATGAGTGATGTTGCTCACTGAAAACGGCACTTTTAGAAAGCAATACCTTGGGCAGGTTAATCAGTGGAGAAGGGCAGCCTGGCCCACCAGTCACAATGGCAGCCAGCTTATACATTTATTCTCAGTTCAAACTTATGGAGTTTTAAAATTAAAAAGGAGCAAGTAGTCAATTGCAAATAGAAGTCCCTGGAATATGATAAAGATAAAACTGAAAAGATGTCCAATTAAATTTAGACGATGTCCCAAATTCTATAAACTCAATTTACCAACTATCACAGCTCTTCAGATTTTTTATGTCATTTAAATGTTCATAAGATTCTCCTTTTCAACATTTTCATGAAACATTTCATGAAATGTTTCAGATTTTTTATGTCATTTAAATGTTCTTAAGATTCTCCTTTTCAACATTTTCATGAAACATTTTATCCTAAGTCACTTCTTTTGTTTCTACTGGTATTAAAATCAGCTTGTGGGACCAAGTTGTTCCTCACTGTGTTGATAAAGGCAGCTGGAAATGCTATGTTAACAAAGAACTGAAATCAGAGAGCAGTTAAAAGTGCTGGACTGCCGAAACCGGTTTGGCTCAGTGGATAGAGCATCAGCCTGCGGACTGAAGGGTCCCGGGTTCGATTCCGGTCAGGGGCATGTGCCTTGGTTGTGGGCACATCCACAGTAGGAGGTGTGCAGGAGGCAGCTGATCGATGTTTCTCTCTCATCGATGTTTCTAGCTCTCTATCCCTCTCCCTTCCTCTCTGTAAAAAGTCAATAAAATATATTAAAAAAAAAAAAAGTGCTGGACTGAAGCACAGGACGCTGCAGACTGAAATCGGGCGGGGTGCGTGCTCTGAGCCCAGTCTTACCCAGGCACACGTACACCCAGGGATGAAGGACCACAGCACAGTCACTTAGACTGTGTCTGCTCTAGTGGCATAAACAGAACAAAATAATCTCCCATCAAAGTTCAAAACACAGAGTAAGGATACAAGGCATAGGAGATAGAGGACAAGAAGATTGCTTTATAGTGACTTCCATGAAATGTTCAATAAATATAAAATCGTAATCACACCCATACATTCTAGGACATATTATTGAAAGTGTTGCAGGCAACACTGAAAAATCCACTGAACTAACAACTACTATTACAATGTACCAGCCACTGCTCCGGCCAAGCACCGTGCTAAGCTCTTCACTCCCATCCTCAGGACTATCGGTGAGACCTCATCTCAGTCTCACTGAGAGGAAGAATGAGGCGTAAAGTTGCCCAGGTGGACCAGTCAGGTCTATCTGATGCCCAAAGTTATGCTTCTGACATCTCACCCTGTTGAGCAGACTATCTTATTAACTATAGTTCCTGGACACAGTGTTACTTCTGTATACAAATTGGCCCGTGGCAATGTAGACAATGAGATTTTTATTAGCAGAAGCCCAGGCAGGGATGGTCTGCTGGGTGCCAGAGGATGGATGAGATTAAAAGTGCCTGATGGCGCAGAAGTGGCTAATATTTCGAGAAAATCCAGTTACACAGAAGTTGTTAGACATCACTCCTGGCTGCTCTGCGCAAAGTGGGAAAAGCTGGGAGGAGTTCCAGGCAGCAGAGCAGCTGGGCTCCCCACGGAGGGTCGCCGGGTGCCTGTGCGAGCTCGGAGGGTCCTCCAGCAAAGAGCTCCTGGGTGAGATCGAATGTGGACGGCGTCCAAGTACGTCCAGGGAACATTCTCCAAGGCGCTGCCCCTATCTTTGCAGAAAGGGCTTGGGGGCTGCCAACTCTGAATTGGCCATCGCTTCAAAATAAACAAAGGAGCCAAAGCCATAATTTATCTCTGGGCTGTGGAACAGCCAGCACACTCGAAACCAGGCTGCCATCTGTGAAGGTGAAATGAATGATCAAGGGGCACACTAAATGGAAATCATAAATCAAGTCTGCGACTTCGCACACAGAATGAATAATGGGCTCCTCTGCTAATTAATCCAGCCAAAGCAGTCTATTTCCAGTTTAATAAGGGCTTCGCTTACCTTGCCAATCTTGACGGTTTCGGAATGTTCGAGGCCCAGGGCCAGCTGCTCCCAGGTCGGGGCCAGCGCTTTGCAGTGACCGCACCATGGAGCGAAGAACTTGATGAAGTGGTTGCCTTCCGTGGGAGCCGGGAAAGAGAGGAAAAGAGGGAGTGTAATTTACATGACACCTAACCAGAGATGGAATGGAAGCCTCTCATTTTTGTCCTCTTGCAAAGCTCAGTCCAGGATGAACCGTTTAACTGGTAAAAAGTGACTCTCCATCAAAAATGTCTGCATCTACGAGTTCATAACGATCCTCAAAGCAGAAACTAATCTGTCACCTTTGGAAGACAATAGGGAACCAACTTATTATTTGAAAAACTGGAAATAAAGGGAAAGAATCAGGATTTACCCTATCGTGTATAACCAACTGATAAGCCAGGCAAGTTTCTCTTGGTAAAAAAATAAAGGCAAGCCCTAGCTAGTTGCTCAGGGGTTAGAGCATCGGCCCTCAGACGGAAGGGTCTCGGGTTCGATTCCAGCAAGGGCACATACCTCGGTTGAAGACCCAATCCCAGTCCCCGGTCGGGATGCATATGGGAGACAACCAATTGATGTGTCTCTCTCACATCGATGTTTCTCTCTCTCTACCCCCCCCCCCCTTCCCCTCTAAAAAAAAAAAAAAAAAAAATCAATGGAAAAACATCCTCGGGTGAGGATTAACAACAACAAATGGAGACAGGATGCTTGAATTAGAGCAGCAGCATTTGGTATCCAGAATAAATGAGCGCCTCTAGGCAGTGACTGTTAGGCTCTGACATCACAGAGAAACTCAGCAGCTATGAAGTCTTGCCCAACCCCCCAAAAACATCAAACCGAAACTGCTAATGTCTCTCGATCCAAGTAGCAGTTCACGGGGAATAGAGAGATCAGGGACACATTAAGCCACACCGTGGGGAGACAGTCAGTGAAGGCCACACTGTGGGGAGACAGTCAGTGAAGGCCACACTGTGCGAGTACAGTCAGTGAAGGCCACACTGTAAGGGTACAGTCAGTGAAGGCCACACTGTGCGGGTACAGTCAGTGAAGACCACACTGTGGGGAGACAGTCAGTGAAAGCCACACTGTGGGGAGACAGTCAGTGAAGGCCACACTATGGGGACTCTACAGGTCAAACCACCTATGTGGTGAGCAAACTGAATGTTAGGAAGAAAAATAGATGTTGGGGCACATGTAGATTAAACAGAATTGAATGAGATATATTTTTAAAAGACCAAACTAAACTATAGCATCTAGGAGCACACACTTGGGTGATGAAACCGTAAAGAAAAGCAAGGAGTAGTTTCCATAAAAGTCCGGACAGCGCCTCCTCGGGGGGCTGTGACTGGGGTGGGGACAGCGAAGCTTGTCTTGAACTGAACAATGGTTACAGGGTGACCATTTTATAACAAATCACTAAGCCTTACGTTTGTTTCCTGTATCTGTGTTTTATTTCACAATAAAGTAGGTTTAAAAAACTGAATATTACTCTCCTGACTAGAAGGAAAAAATCAGATCCTCAAACTTCATTATTTAGTCATGAAAGATGTTTTCCTAGGCTGTGCTACCTTGACCATCCTGGGCCTAAAGATGTCAGGCTGAGATCAAACTGAAATCAGGCTGCGGCCAGGGAGAAAACAAGCCAATGAATGCTACACTGTGGCCTGGCTCACAGCAGCGCCTCATCACTATGGCAATGATGCGTTTGAAGGAAATGGTGAAAAACTGGCTTCAAAAGATTAGCAAATTAGCTTCCAGGCTGAACCCATCTCTCCAGACAGCTCTGGTGCTCACATTGGGTGGTGAGGTGGAGAGGACGCCCAAGGACCCATCAGAGTGTCCCCGGGAAGGTGCAAGACCAGAGGCTGGAGACCCTCAGGCCAGCAGCACAGGCAGCATCCCCAAAGGCTGCCTTCAGCGATGGCTTGCAGAGTGAGGGACCAGGCTGGCTGCGGGAAAGGGTCTCCAAGAAGGTGACTTGGGGAACACATCCTGCAGGGAGCCCAAGCTGGTCTCAGGTTAAAGTGAACCCCCTGCAGGGAAACCCCTCGAAGCTGCACTGTCAGGGGGCTGGCACAAATAGCCATCTCCAAGGAAAGTGGAAACAGCTGAAGGCACCAGTTACTTCTCACCTTTAGTGGGTTGGGGGGAGCTAATTTAGCACTGAGTTGGGGGCTGACTCCCCACAGCACGAAGTCACTAGGCCAGATGCGATTTTAAGCCCCTTTCACAATATTTCCAACCCAGTTTTAGGGGAGGATTTCTCTCCATGGCAGCATTTGAGAATGGAGTTGGCGAGTCATTCACTGCTGAGCCAACTCTTCTGAAATGTGTGAAGAAAGGAGGACTTATATTATTAACATCAGAAATTGTACACAGATCATTTCCATATTTAGGAGGCCACTTTCAAAAACAAGATGTGTCTAAGAAAAGATTTTAAGTGTGAAGAACTCTGACTCACATGTTATAATAGTTCACTAAATAAACTAAATTCTAGTTTAAACAGGTAAGAAAAAGTTGTGGGGTTTTTCTAAAACTGATTTTAGAGAGGGAGGAAGGGAGACAGAGAAAGAAACATCGAAGTGAGAGAGATACCTCGATCAGTTGCCTTCTGTACACACCCTGATTGGGGATCGAACCCACAACCTAGGTATGTGCCCTGACCGGGGATGGAACCCAACCTTCCAGTGCAGGGGGCAATGCTCCAACTAACTAAGCCACCTGGTCAGGGCAGATAAGAGAAAGTTTTATTTCTGGCTCAGGTCAATAAGTATATGATTAACGTGAATATAAACACACTTTCTTGTTCAAGGATGCACTGTCCAGCTAGTGTAGGAATTGTGTCACTCACAATCTGTGAGCTCCAAATTCCCTCACCTAAGGCCTTAGCTTAGCATTAAAACTCTGATTTAAGGACAGAGACCAAAGGAGGAATTTCCAAGGGGAAGAGCATTAAACAATGATGCTAATGGTCCCTGAAGAGAGAAATCCTTACTTAACCCTTTGTATACCATAAGCATCTATAGACCCAAGTGGCGGACCTTCCCCACACGTCACACACGTCTATAGCCGCAAACCTCACATATCGACTCTGGTCGCCCAATTTTAAAATCAGACTCGTTAGTGACATCTCTGGGTTTGTAACGAAAATTATGGGAACTTAAATTCATAACTACTCCAGTGCATACGGAAGAAATGGGGATGGTTTCCGTTTTGGCCGCATGGCAGTTAACTGGTTAGTGTCCCACATGCTGCTTTCTATGAGGCCTCAGGTGGCAAGGACAAGCCCAGCAAGTGAAGGGGTAACAAACGGTCAGTGTTTCTGAGAGGGTGCATCCCACTGTGAACGCCCACAAGATCCGCCTGCCATACCTTGTGCGACATGCAGCTCAAAGTTGCTCGCTGAGAGCTCGTACAGCCCCTGCTTGAGCTCAGGGGCCCTGGGAGGTTCTGGTTCTGGCTCTGGTGTCTAATAGGAAGAAACAAAAATATAATCACTGAGTGGTCTGTGAAGACTTAGTGAGAGCCATCAAGGAGGTGACCTGTGTCTGTCTAGAGCAGCGGTTCTCAACCTGTAGGTCGCGACCCCTTTGGCGGTCGAACGACCCTTTCACAGGGGTCGCCTAAGACCATCCTGCATATCAGATATTTACATTACAATTCATAACAGTAGCAACATTACAGTTATGAATCAGCAACAAAAATAATTTTATGGTTGGGTCACAACATGGGGAACTGTATTTAAAGGGCCAGAAGGTTGAGAACCACTGGTCTAGAGCCTCCTGCAGATCGCCTTCCTCACCTGGCCATCCTGAACCTGTGTGGGATGCCGCCGTGTGGGGGGAGGCCAGCGCAGGACTCCCCTCGGAGTCAGAAGCCCCTCGGGAAGCAGGTGACAGCCAAACCCACCCCAACCTGTCCTTTGCTCTCCCAAACCCAACCACACAGAGCAGACAGCCTGAAGGACTCTGCTCTGTTCTTTGAAATGGGATGTGAGATTTCACACAGAATACAAATAAAATTTCTGATCTAAAGGAAAGGGTACCTAAAGGCACAAAGAGAGCAAAATGGACAAAACTGAGAATGAAAAACCATGAGGAAAGAACGGACATTGATTCACACAAACAGTAAAAAACAAAAAACTGGGAAGGAAGTTAAAACTCTGAAGGACTCATAAAAGAGAAAAGTAGGTGATGAGAAGGTAAATTGAGATGAATCAAAGCAACAAAGAGAAAAACCACAGGGCAAACAGGAGCTGTACTTTTAACTCACACGACTAAGTTTGGGACAGAAACACAACAAAGGTACAAGAAGTGGCTTCTCCCCCCCCCTTTTTAAATTAAATTTATTGGGGTGACATTGGTTAATATGATCATACAAATTTCAGGTGAGGGTTTCTATGTTATAAGATCTGTGTGTTGCATGTATGCCACCCAAAGTAAAATCTTCTCCCATCAAGAAGTCGGTTTTTAAGAAAGACACTCCTGCCCTGGCCGGGTAGCTCAGTTGGTTAGAGCATCATCCCGATATGCCGAGGTAGCGGGTTCAATCCCTGGTCAGGGCACATACAAGCATCAATCAATGAATGCATAAAGAAGTGGAACAACAAATTGATGTTTCTCTCTCTCTCTAAAATCAATCAACAAACTTTTTAAAAAAAAAAAAAAAAAGACACTTCTGCCAGTACCTGAGCAGACACCAAGGTGTGTAACTATGCAGTTACCCTACTACTTACTACACAATTCTAAATTGGTCAATTTTTGAGACCAGTATAGCTACGATGAAGAAAAGATCACTGAAATACCATTTTGCTGTAGACACCTGGGTATTACTCAATTGTTATGTGGCAGTGCATACTTCTATTAAAGAGAATACCCAAGTTCAGTCACTGAAAGCTTTAAAAGTGCTGACAGCTCAAAGGTGTCCTGAGCTATAATCATAAACCTCATGAGGTTTTCCTTTCTGCTACTGGTTTGTCAAAACTTCCAAGTGTTGCCGAAACCGGTTTGGCTCAGTGGATAGAGCGTCGGCCTGTGGACTGAAAGGTCCCAGGTTCGATTCCGATCAAGGGCATGTACCTGGGTTGCGGGCACATCCCCAGTGGGATGCAGGAGGCAGCTGATCGATGTTTCTCTCTCATCGATGTTTCTAACTCTCTATCTCTCTCCCTTCCTCTCTGTAAAAAATCAATAAAATATATTTTTAAAAAAAACAACAAAAAAACTTCCAAGTGCTAAGTACCTACCAGAGGAGCCCAAGAGAATGACGGTCCAATGAACAGTCAGTGAGTCCAACAGGTGAAACAAAACACTTTGTATGCTGCTATAAGGTGTTCAAAGGGCTCTCAGTATTAAAATGATATTTATGGCACTAGGGGACATGACCCCTTCCTGCGCTTGATGGCAGTCACCAGTGCAGTCCTACCACAGGGGAACACCACAGTAGGTCACAGAAATGGGTCCACTCTAGATTCTTTTTTTTTTAATTTATTTATTTATTCTTTTGTCCATTCGTTATGCTTATATGCATGCATACAAGTCATTTGGTTGATCTCTTACCCCTCCCCCCAAAACTCTCCCCAGCTTTCCTGCTGAAGTTTGACAGTCTGTTCGATGCTTCTTTGTCTCTGTATCTATTTTTATTCATCAGTTTATGATGTTGATTATATTCCACAAAGAGTGGGATCATGTGATGTTTATCTCTAACTGGCTTATTTCACTTAACATCATGCTCTCCTATTCCATCCATGCTGTTGCAAATGGTAAGAATTCCTATTTTACAGCAGCGTAGTATTCCATTGTGTAGATGTGCCACAGTTTTCTAATCCAGCAGTTGCCAACTGGTGGTGATGTGCAGGAGGCAGCTGATCGATGTTTCTCTCTCATCGATGTTTCTAACTCTCTATCTCTCTCCCTTCCTCTCTGTAAAAAATCAATAAAATATATTTTTAAAAAAAACAACAAAAAAACTTCCAAGTGCTAAGTACCTACCAGAGGAGCCCAAGAGAATGACGGTCCAATGAACAGTCAGTGAGTCCAACAGGTGAAACAAAACACTTTGTATGCTGCTATAAGGTGTTCAAAGGGCTCTCAGTATTAAAATGATATTTATGGCACTAGGGGACATGACCCCTTCCTGCGCTTGATGGCAGTCACCAGTGCAGTCCTACCACAGGGGAACACCACAGTAGGTCACAGAAATGGGTCCACTCTAGATTCTTTTTTTTTTAATTTATTTATTTATTCTTTTGTCCATTCGTTATGCTTATATGCATGCATACAAGTCATTTGGTTGATCTCTTACCCCTCCCCCCAAAACTCTCCCCAGCTTTCCTGCTGAAGTTTGACAGTCTGTTCGATGCTTCTTTGTCTCTGTATCTATTTTTATTCATCAGTTTATGATGTTGATTATATTCCACAAATGAGTGGGATCATGTGATGTTTATCTTTCTCTAACTGGCTTATTTCACTTAACATCATGCTCTCCTATTCCATCCATGCTGTTGCAAATGGTAAGAATTCCTATTTTACAGCAGCGTAGTATTCCATTGTGTAGATGTGCCACAGTTTTCTAATCCAGCAGTTGCCAACTGGTGGTCCACGAGGACCGAAAAGTTGGGAACCACTGTTCTAATCTACTCATCTGCTGATGGGCACTTAGGCTGTTTCCAAATCTTAGCTATTGTAAATTGTGCTGCTATGAACATAGGGGTGCAAATATCCTTTCTGATTAGTGTTTCTGTTTTCTTGGGATATATTCCTAGAAGTGGTATTACTGGGTCAAATGGGATTTCCATTTTTAGTTTTTTGAGGAAAGTCCATATGTTCTTCACAATGGCTGCAGCAGTCTACATTCCCACCAGCAGTGCACGAGAGTTCCTTTTTCTCCACATCCTCTCCAGCACTTGTCATTTGTTGATTTGTGTATGATAGCCATTCTGACAGGTGGGAGATAGTACCTCATTGTTGTTTTGATTTGCATCTCTCAGATGATTAGTGACTTTGAGAATGTTTTCATATGTCTCTCTGCCTTCTGTATGTCCTCTTTCGAAAAGTATCT